ACACAAGGAGCAAAATGTCAGACCAGATTTGCACAACTATACGCACATTTTCGACCTTACACTTTTTGCAAAACACACTTTTCTACATTAGACACATCATTCACTAAAAAGGCCTTTGGTGTGTGAATTGCTAAACACTGCCAACTGAAACAGACGCTCAATTAGCAATCAACCTGAACTCAGAATGTCACATGTGAAGACACATGTAAACAATCAGACAATCAATCACGCAGAATTCCACAGCTTGATCATGAGGAAGAATATACACATTCTTCCAGTGTAGACTTGCTGACACCTAGGAGCAACTCTATACACCCCACTGAGTTGGCCCCTTGATCCTTTTGTCAAGGAGATGATATTTTAACTACTGTGGATTTGCTGATTTCAGCATATGAGACCCTCCACACACACAACACAAACACCACACACACACACACACACACACTCTTTCACTTTCACATCACTTTGCTCCATCTATGTTTGAAGTCACACTGTTTCACTGAAATCACATTGACCACACCCCACCCCGCCACCCCCCAACCCTATCCACTCTTACTTTAAATAGCAGAGCTTTTGTTACTTTGAGTGCATGCACTAAAGGGTTCAACCATGGTAAGTTTACAGCAGACACATCTCTAAATCATCTGTCAATCTATGTTATTGTGAACATTTTTTTATTATTCATTTTTTCCCTTGTTTATGGAGGCGAAGCTCAGTGTTCTTCAGAAAACACATGCTTATTAAGGAAACATCTTTATCACTCTGACAACACATGCACTACAAATACACAAACACCACCAAATAGTCACCGTCTGCACTCTGAGTCACTTCTGGGCTTTGTTTTTTCCTGTTTTATTCTGTGTTATCTTTGTTATATTGTGTATTTAGTCTGTGTTTTCCCCTCAGTGTTTGTCACCTTGTCTCTTTCGGTTCCTGTATTTTTCTCCTGGTGTTTTCTTGTGCTCCTGTGCATGTTCGTGAGTTTTGTCCTGTACTTTTTTTCACCGTCTGCATGTAAATTTGTATGTTGAAGAACCTTCTGTGCACCTAACAGCTCTCATGATTGTCTCCATTTGGGGTGTGAATTCCTTGAAGCATAACACAAAGACAAATGTGCTTGCAAATAACCACATCACAACCAAATAGAGAACGCACTGCAAGGAGCACAGACGACAAAGGAAGTGTTTTCGCAGGGGCACATCATAATAGTATGAACCCATCTGGGATGTATTTTGTTATTCAATGCTTTGTGTCTTTTGGAGTTTTTTTAAAATTGAAGTCATCTACTCGTCAGAAGTGTTAGAAAATTAGCTCAAATGTAAGTAATGCAGCCAGTTTCATCAGTTTTTTAGCTTCAGGTGAGACATCTCCAGCATCAGTTTCTGACCCAGGTTCAGCATCATGTCAGAAACTTCTTTTCTTCATTTTAAATTGTGTGATTATTTCATTTTTCTGTGCTGACATTTAACCATTGTCGTATACACTCCGGTGTTTGACTGTGTCCATGTTTTTGATGGGTCTAATGTAACTTCAGCCTAAACCTATGACACCGCTCTCTATATTTTTCTTCCCTCCGCTGCGTTTCTTTGATCTTCTATAAAAATGGATAATGTCTTGAAAGCGCCCCCTAGAAAATTTCAATTAGGCCGCCCTGCCCTCTGCTTCATGTACGTGTACAGACAGAAAAAAGCTGCTTGCACCCATGCACCCAACAGGAAGTCAGGCATTTTGAATTTCCTCTGCAATTTTTGGACATCATACTTTACAAACTCCCCCCACAGAATTAATTAGATTGACATCATGATTAGTCAGTCTGATCTTAAGACCTTTACAATGCTAAATTGTGAAACTTTTGAGTTTTCGTTGGAGGACCTGCCCGCCTGCACAGTGAATTTCAATGTTTTGCCATGAAACAGGAAGTTGTTATAAATCCAGTACAAACTGTCCAGACTGCCTCAAACTTTATGTTTCATAAAGGCCTTAAGAGACCTAGATGCCAATATGTTACGATCATAGCATCCCCTTGTGGCAACAGGAAATGTCATGTTTTACACTTTGATGTGTTCCTCCTAGCAGGTTGACCACACCCACCTCAACCTTGGTCAGAATATGCTTAAGACTGTGACTGTGGCGGTGCAGCAAATGTTTCACCATTAAACAGGAAGTTGTTATAGCCTAACTAAAACATAAATTGTCCAATCTGCCCCAAACTTCACATTTGATGATGGTCCCACACTGAAGACATCTGCATGTGAATATGACGTCATACTGAATGCGCCAGCCACTGAAAACAGGAAGTAACCCTTGACTATCAACATTTGGTTTCAATGACATTTTCATTGTATGGTTTACACACGATACACAGGAACATAATGCGTGTTGTTCCAAGGTTCACAGCAGGGCAAGGGCCAGCGTATCACTGCTTGCAGCTTTAATTTTCTATAGGTACTGATTTTTACTCTGTTTAAACACTGAGTATGTGTATTGATGTCCAACCACCTTCATACAAAGTGTCTCTTCCTCGTTCTGTTGTTTCACCGTCTCCCTGTGTTTTTGCTGTTGTACAAAACTTTTTCTGTTGTCTTTCCTCCTGTATAAGTTAACCAAAGTATTTGTTTTCATCTTGCAGTAATCAAGTATCCAGCTGTCACTTTGCAGTATTCATGGCTTGGTCCGTTTCTTGTGGGTACGTATTAGAATGGCAGAGTTCACTGTATTGAAACTGCATGCTGCCTAACTGGTATTAAATTGAGCTTTCACCATCTTAGCTGACTTGTTTGGAAAATATAACACCATAATTTAGCAGCGGACTCCACTCAGCTTTGTCTGTTCAGTTTCTAAGCTTTAACCCTTTCCTCTCTGCGCTCACAGATCTGCAGGGCAGCAGCACTGGGAGTTGATTGAACTGGCCCGGGCTGTGATTGGGCCGCTGAAGAGTGGACTCTGTTCCTTCAACACTGTCTCAGAGATGCTCCTCAGTATAGATGCAGACATGGTCCTTCCTGGATGCCAGAGCTTTGATGATATCAGACGACAGATTAAGAACATGAAGCAGAGGATGGAAGAGTCAGAGCAGATAGCCAGAGTAGAGCTTCAACGAGTGGATAGGGTGACTGAGTCTCTCACTGCAGAGCAGAGTGTTTTAGCAAGGCAGAAAAGTCAGAAAGAGGGTGAGCTACAGAACTTGAATACACAGCTGAACTCACACCAATCCTCTCTAAGGAGTTACAGTGATGCTCTAGAGACAGAGAGGTCAAACCTGAGGTCAGCAGAAGACACCCTGAACAACATGAGGGCGAAGAGAGATGAGGCAGAGAGCATACGGAACGCAGGGATTGGTGTCATGTTCATCCCAATTGTGGGTTGGATTGCTGGTAAGTAAATAGAGCAGGTTATAACTATACAAGTTAATTAAAATGTAATCAAGTGATTATATAGCTGACTACAATAAATAGGGGACTATCCAGTATAGAAATTTGTTCATTTTCACATGTTTTTTCATTATCAATCTACTTTTTTTTATTATGAATCTACTTTAATTTCAGGAGGAATTATGGTTGGTGTCGGTCAATCAGACATGGACCAGGCCTCTGATGCTGTAGACAGAGCTAATCAGGAGGTACAGAGCTGTGAATCTCAGGTGAACTCATACTCTTCCAAAGTGAATCAGTACAAGTCCTTGATCTATCAGGTTGAGCTTGACATCAGAAAGGCTGACAATAAGATTCATGAGACAGATGCCAAACTGCAGAATATGTCTGTGAAGCGGAGGGTTGTTGCTGATATTCAGGATAAAATGAGACGAGCTGTCCATCAGCTGGGGCTGGTGTGTGTGGTGGGGAGTGCGGCAGAGCTGCAGACCCGACGCCTGATCCTGCTGGAGCCTGTGATGAAGCTGTTGGAGGAGATGACAACAGTACTGGGCCAGGGCACTGGAAATGAGCTGCTTCACACAGAAGGCATACAGAGCCTGATGTGTGACATGAAGAAGAACCACAAGAAACTTAAAGAACGCGCTTCCGCCAATAAGAGTATCAAGGATGCTTACATATGATTTGCCATTCTCTCACCGTCTTTGCTGTGATGTGGTTTGTTTTGTTCATTGCTTCATAGAACTTTTTTCATGGTAGAGATATGCAGGTGGTATGCTGTGATGAGGCGAGTAGTTTTGGTGGAAAAATAAACACACACGTTTTTCTTGTTTGATGAATGAACATGAATCATCCATTAAGTTGCCGACCTGAAGTGTTTTGCAGTTCAAGATAACGCTGGACCTGGCAGCAAGGGCGTAGGTTTGCATATGGACAATATTTGAATTATTATTTAAATGTGAATACAGATCATTTGTTAATAAACCATTCTGTTGACAGCATGAAAAAGCCCTCCTTGTTTTGGAAGGGTTGATGCGTCCCTACCAATGTTGAGCCCAAACCTATGGCCTTGCCTGGCAGTGATGTTTTTAACATGTCTGTTGTAGTATTTGTATTTTTCTCACTTCAGATAGATACTTGTTTTTTCTGTTCCCTTCTAATTCCTTGTATGTGCAAATTTACTTGGGGATAAATCAGATTGCTTTACTCGAGTGTGGTCTGTTCTCTTCATGTGACGAGGTCTTGTAGTGCTGACATTTGACCACTAGATGGGGACATGATGTTGATCAGCGACTCCTAAATCCTACCACAGAACAAAGGTACATATAATGACAGACAACACAACACACACACAGACTTTATTTTGCAAGACAGGGCCACCTAATGACCTGGAACCAATACTGGATTGATCAGGGGCCCCACAGATCACCTCCAGAAAGTTATAAACCTCTGGCACTATAAGTGCACAACAAATGTTACGGGTACACTTTGACACACAGCTCATGACCTTTTAAGGTATTTCCCGATGACTTAAACATGAGACCAAGACTGTTTGATCAATTGCCCTTTGAAAACCCCCCGCACACAAAACGATACAAGAACTTACTTTAAATTTAGTTTTTATTCATTTCAACAAACTTAAACAGTTCATACTTTATCAAAAACTGATTTAAAAAGAAAACAGGTAAACACTGTACGCACACAAGATGGAGAACAGGTGAGCTGATGAGCAGCAGGTAATTTCATGAGTCAAACAATAAGACTTTGTTTTCAGGATCAACACATCTTCTGGAACACAAACACCAGGTAGATACCTGGACAGAACAGAGAAGACAGGTGAAAGTTTCAGTTAATTATGAACAGTTGAGTCTAACTATTTCATTCTCCTGGTCAGGGGTCCTGTCATCCAAGTCATTCAGGATGCTTATGACATTTAAAGTCACCTTCTCATTGGGAGGTAGATACCTGTTGTGATTCTATAGGATTCTGTTTTTAACCCCTGGACATCATGGACAGTGATTCTCTACTTCCTGTTACAGTTACACTGAAAACATGTATCTAAACCACTTTTAAGTCTTTTTATCTAAACCACAATGGTGTGTACCGGGTACATTTATAGGTCACTAGCATCAAACTTTAATCATTACGACTCATCTTCGTCACAGGAGGATGAAGAAAACAGTAGGTTTGTGTCACCTCAGGATTAAAAACTCCAGATGTCTTTGAAAAAATATCCAGTTTCTGTGACAAAATACTTGGTGACAAGAAAGGTGGTAAAACATTTCACTAAAGTTAATGGAAAAACTTACTGGTTGCTTCCCACTCAGATCTGCTTAGAGTGCCCTGCACAAAAACAAGCAAACCACACTGTTAGAGCAAACAGGACCCAACCAGACTGAACCAGTGTACTGTTAGCTCACTCACCAGTGGTAGTCTGACTCCAGCTCTGCTGCTGTGGTCTTTAGCATGGCAGTACTCTCCTCTGCTGTCTGTAGCCTGTCGACCTCCGTCCTCACAAGGAAACGGCTGAAAATAACAATTCAACACATTAAGTAAGTTACTACTTATGAAATGCACATTCATCTATGATAAATATACATTAACTACATGTTTCCTACACATGAACAACAAAACACTGATGTGTAGGTGCAACATGTTATACTATTGTTCATCTGAACAAACTGCAACTTCAACTTTTTTAGGGTTAGAACTAATAAACATTGCACAAGACATGCATGCAGGTAAACGATGTCAAGCTGTTTCAGAAAGGAGGTTTAATTAACTATAAACTTAACCCTGAACTCTGAGTCTCTGTTCTCACACTGATTACTGATTATAAAAGAGGCTCAGCTGGAGGAGACAGACAGAAACTCAAAGGAAACCTGCCGGTGAACAGGTTAGCTTCACAGAGTAAGTTACCGCGGTAAAATATCCCAGTTTCTGGAACAGAAAACCCAGAGTTTCCTTCATCTCAGGGTTAAACAATTTTGAGTTTTCACTAAAACCACTTTCTGGAATAGTCCACGGAGCCAATATTTATAACTGATTCTTATCTTATAATTATCTAATTGATAATTACCTCTAGAGCCATCATTTTCATCATGAGGCTGCGATGATGCTCCTTCTTCACTTTCTCCTCAGAGAACTCAGAGAATCTCTGCTTCATCACCAGACGCATGTTGTAACGCTTTGCCATGCTGATACAAAAACAAAAAAGTAGAGACGCAGTAGAGTCAGCAAGTAGTAGAATGAGTATGAAAACAGAGTGAGTACTGCTGAGCTACAGCAGAGTCACTGGAGAAGGGTGTGAGTGTAATGACTGCAGCACTTTTACAGTAGAGCCACAGTAGATTCCATAAAATGGTTTAACAGTACAAACAGAATAGAGTTTTTATTTAAAGGCTCTTGAGGCTTTACGCATTCGTTCTTTTTTTCATTGGTCAAACATGCACGAAAAATATAATCTTACTGTTCAAAAAGAGGAAAGTAGACGAGGAACTCTGGAACGTCGACCACATCCTCGAGGCTGAAGTGATACTGACATCCGAACAGAGGATACGAACCTTTGGACTGAAAGGAAACTTTGAAAACCTCGTTACCAAACGTCAGAGAATCCGATGCTTCCAAACGTTTACTGGAAAGGAGAAGAAAAGAGAAGAAAAGAGAAGAGGAGGAAGCGGGAAAGAAAAATAAGAGAAAGGAGAGACGAGGGGCATTGACATTGTTATCATAAACTACTCTTTGTGTGTTTCCTGACAGTCAATTACAGTCACATTAACAAGCTCACCGCAGGTTCAGACAGTATAAAAATCGTCATGTCATTATTGCACAGACTGTAGACAATGTCAAAAAATACCACCAGGCACTGAATTTCCTGCAGGAATTATTAATATTATAAAACATAAACATACATAGGTATAAATGTTTGAGTTCTTACATATAAAAACTTTTAACTTTGTCTTACATGAGTTCGAAGGCGTCTGGTGTCGTTCCAATAAAGTAACCTCCGGGTTTCAGACGCTCGCAGGCATTTCTCAGCATCATGTCAGCCTTCTGTTCACTCTCAAATGAGTAATGATAAACAAACTGACAACTGCAGATGTCAAACATCAGCTCAGGGTGATCCAGCTTCTCTGACAAAACCTCCTGCACACAGACATCAAAGCAGTTATAGGTACATCTCTACAAGCAAACAAAGAGACCCAGAAGAGACACAAAGGAAAACTGAGAAATATTTATGCGTTGTGGTGATAATCTGATCTATGTGTTGTTATTCTACCTTGGTTCAAGGATGAACTGATCTATGTGTTGTTATTCTACCTTGGTTAGGGATGAACTGATCTATGTGTTGCGGCTGAAGTTTGGAACAGTCTGCGGTGATAAACTGATCTGTGTTCTGCAGCTCTACCTTGGAACGGTCTGCGGTGATAAACTGATCTGTGTTCTGCAGCTCTACCTTGGAACAGTCTGCGGTGATAAACTGATCTGTGTTCTGCAGCTCTACCTTGGAACAGTCTGCGGTGATAAACTGAGCGCTGAAGATCTTCTCGTTAGCGTGACTTTTCCTCTTCATGTCTTCATAACGACTCTGACACTGCTCCACCGACACTGCTGCTATATCTGAGAACAAACACGTCATTGATTATTAATTGTACGTGTAATAACCCCTTTTAGGCGGGAATTTTTAACATTAAATCTATTAAGACTTCAGCATCTGTGAGATTGCAGTTAACACATTTTTAGTAACACACTGCAGTAATGCCATAGCTTTTTTCAGTAACGAGTAGTAGGAGGGATTACAATGTGAATTCAGTGGTTACATTATGGTTGAGCTGTGGGTAGCAGATTGATTTATGAAGATTTGGCAATATGATAGTATTAGGCGTGTGCAATAAGTCCACTTAACAATTAACTTTTAACAGTTACATTAAAGGGTTGCTACCCTTTTATAACTGCGACATCATATGACAAAATCACCAATCACATAAATTAAAGACAAGACAGAGCTGTGATTTCAGCTGTATATACTACTATAAATAATCACTCAGAGAGAAAGTTAGAACAGACAGACTATCTTTCTTTTTAAGTTATTTTTTCATAGTGACATTAGTCATACTGAGAGAGACACTGGAAATTGGGGGGAGTGAGAGAGAGGATGACATGCAGCAAAGCGCCACAGCCCAGACTCAAACCCAGGCTGCTGGGTCAAGGACTAAGCCCAAGTGGCACGCATTCCACCAGGTGAGCCACTGGGGCGCAGGCCCAAGACAGACTATATTTCTTATTTTGTCTCTCACACAGCTCAAAGCCTCCGTCTGGGATCCACAATAGTTTAGCCTTTACTTACTTCCAGCTCCAGAACTTAACAGACTTTTATTTGAGGAAGGTCTTTACTGTTTGATATTTGGAATTGGTCATAGTGGTTACATAGTAATACCGATGACTTCTCTCCCTCCCTCCCTCCTGCTCTCTGCTCTCAGTGTGTCTTATAGTTGTATAGTTGTTAGTTGTTCCTCTAAATGGACTGCATTTTTATATCGCTTTTCAAGTCCTAACGACACCTCAAAGCGCTTTACACTACTAGTCACATTCACCCATTTACACGCACATTCATAAAGCGCTTTTCTACCATACACACACATTCACACACCGATGATACATCAATTTCAATTTTGGGCTTGGACTGGAAGAGCTGGGGATCAAATCACCGACCTTCTGATTTAGCACTACCAGCTCTGCCTCCTGAGCCACAGCCACCTGCCTCTGTTAGTAATAATGATACATGTAATGAAAGTAGTTTGTTTGCCATAATGGCTCAGTGTATTGGAAGCACTACTCTGCTTCCCTGCAGTTCCCGAGCAGCCGAGAAACCAGAGCAGCTCGGTGGACTGCGGCTCAGCACTCAAGTGCTGGAAATATCATTACTCAGTCACTCGGTCAGTCAAGGACTTTCACGATTATAGGGCTGGCCCCAGTGTTGCAGTCCAGCCAAAAGCCGTCACAGACACCAGATCAACAAACAGGTGTGAGAGCACCTGACAACATCTGATCAGAGGAACAAGTAACATTAATCAATAATAATTGATTACCTGCACAGACTAGGTGATTGATCCCGCCTCTCCTCCACTTCAGGAGGTCTCCTCCTTTCCCACAGCCAAGGTCCAACACAGATATCTGCTGAGGCCCCGCCCCTCGCACCTGCTCCAGGATCTCACCTGTCCATTGAATAAACAGCCACTCAATTGAAAGGACTTTAATGTACATCAGGTGTTTATCTTCTGTTGAAAATAATTAACTAATAACTATGATCAATGACTTCTTTTAAGATGAACTGATTTGTCTGAGCCACTGTTGTTACCAAAATAGTTGCCGATGTCTGATAGTCACAGACATGTGATGTACTGATTGATAATATCTGGTACTGACAACTGCTGAACAGTGAGGAATGATAAACTGATGGATAGTACCGATTATTATTAATCAGTTACCAATCAAGACGCTCTTCAGCCAGTTGTTAAAGTTCCTCATGAAGAAGATTCTGCTTCGACTTCGAGCAGCCAGACCAACTTCCTGCAGACTGTTGTAGTGACTGGCCACCTTCACACTGTGATCAGGCACCTGACAAATAAATAACACACCATTTTCAAAAACATCCAACTATCAATAACATATCAGATCAGAGTGATTGATAATCAATCAGTAAATGTACCTGCTTCTTGGTGGGTGAGGTCTCGTCTTCATCCTCTTCTTCCTCATGTCTCCTCTTCATGCCTGCCTTCTTTCCCCCTCCTCCTCCTCCTCCTGCAGTCACTCCGTCCTCCCCCTCTCCTTCCCTCTGTCTCTCTCTTCCCTCCTTCACTGTTTCTGTCCTGTGGGACTGAAGCTCCATCTTTCACTCTGAAAACATACAATCACAGAGAAACACAAACAGTTGAACATGACACATTGGAGGAGTCACAGGAGTCTCCATTAATTATACCAGTCAGTTTTACAACACCTCCATTTTCCCCCTAACGAGTCACTGACCAACCAGTCTGTTTTCCTCTGTTACTGGTGTTTCTCTCCCCTCTGACAGCAGTATACAGTCCTGCTTCCTGCAGTGCAGTGTTGTCCTGATGATGCATCAGAGGGGGTAGTAACACAATTTGTACAGACAGAGGGTTTGTCAGTCATCATCCTGGAGGAATTGTTTCATTAACATTCAAGGCTTCATTTACTTCCACTGCTGCAGGAAAGCTGGAAGTAAACCAGTTTCTTCATCCGTGGTAAAGACCTGTTTTCTATCTACAGGAGAATTCAGTTTCTGGTGACCTGACCTTTTTTTTAATCATAGAACCACTGAAGGTTTTACCCTGGACTTATATAGACATATATTATAGATTGTAAACTTTACTCTGATTGTTAAACACACGTCTACATGATGAAGATCCGTCTGATTTCTGTCACGTTGAACTCAACACAAACATCGACAGGAAGTTCACCCCTGAGTGTTACAGGATCGTATAGATGTAACTGGTCTGACTGGTCTGTTACTGGTGTTCCTTTAAGTTACTCAGTGGAACCTTCAGTTAAACCTTCACTGAGCCGTTCTAATGTTTCAACTGTAAACTAACGTTAGCTGATAGCATGCTAACACCAAGCATGCCTACAGTTAAATAAAACACCGGTGTTTTCAGGGTAAGATCAACCATGACCGGACGGAAACACAGACCTGGTTTAAACTGGTTGGCTGAGAAGAGACAAACAGTGGAACTCTCTATTAACGTTCACATTTGTTTATAATCTAAAGAACACAATGAACTCACGGTGCCTCCAGCCAGGACGCGTGCGCTCTGGGTAGCTTCCGGCTGTGTATACGTCACATTTCTGCGTCACACCAGAGAAGCGGCGGAGTAAACAAAGAAACCAGAAGTGAAAAACAGGTCTTTCTGGAGGAGTTTGGTTTGGTTTGTTGATTAATATATTGATTATAGACAATCGTCAGTCCTGCTATCACATCACCATTTTGCAGGAACTGTTTGACTGATAGTAGTGATTACTGTATAGACCATTTATCAGCTGATTTGTTGTTCCACGAAACTCCGTTAAGAAATTCCTCGATTTAATATTTTCTGGTTGAATTGAACACCTATAAACATCATGAACACATATTGACACTGAAGCGTATTAATGTCTTATAAAATCTGTGTCTCTTACAAAACTGTTTATAAAAAGTAAACATCTTGTATGTGTACAGTCCAGACTGTTTCCATAATAATTTTGTGTAATGTTTCATCAGGTACAGTTTGGTGTTTGTATATTTTTACTTTCTATCCTGATGTAATTTTATTATTATTCTATTGTGATTTTGCTAATCGTTGTTGCTAATTAGTGCCACGGGTGCTTAGCTCCGAGGCACTCCTCTACAGCTAGAATAGCTGAGAGGAGTGCCTCGGGGCGGGGCATCTATTAATCTTCTGTTTCGGGTTTATTATTCTTCCGCCAAATTTCGGCGCGTAACTCGTCCCGCACCTTTGAGAAAACCCCAGTAATGTATACATCAAAACGTGCGTCTTGATCCCGAAAGGGGTGCTATGACTTTTGGTGTTAAAATTCCAATTTTTCCCAAAGTTATTCCCAAAAAACTGGGAATAAATAATGCATTAGGAATGCATTGGAATTTTCTTTAGAAACCCACAAAATTTCACCTTTTTTCTACAAAATTTCACCTTTTTTCTGAGTCACCCAGCTCTCTCATACCTGCACGTAGAAATGTGATTCAAACTATAAAACGGAGGAAAACTTCTTCTCTCTCAAAAACATAGGAACTGTTTTTACATAACATGTAAACTTTTCAAACTATGAGCACTCAAAGGAGGAGTGCAAATCACTTTTTCTTCAAAGTTAGAGTGACAGCATCAGTTGGCTAGAGTGCGTGAGGCAGTAAAAAATGACCTTTATTTTTATTTTTAACTCGAGCTCACGGCCAAACCGTAAAAAGGAGACAAATAATTCTTTCTGAAAATGTAGACATAGTTGTTGGGATTCATAAAATGTCTCACTCTCATTGACACCTAATGTAATCGTATTTTTTTTTCAAAAGACTCTCACTCTGTCTTTGCACTGAGCTTACTCACTCATTTTAAGGAATATCTGAATAAAATAGAGACTGTAGAAACTTCTGGCTTCAGTGTCTGTCACGGTCTTTTCGGTTTTTGAAAAGTAGTAACGGTTTTCTCAGAATTTGCAGTTGTTTGATGCCATGTAGAAGCCAAATTCTGGGCAGATTTTCGCATTGCCATGGCAACGGCAGCTCCTGACCTGTGTGCGTGCGTGCGTGCGCCTAGCAACCAGATAACCAACTCTCCAAGCTCCGCTAGCTTTACATTAGCCGCATGTTAGGTCTTAAATTACATTTAGTTAGGTCTTAAATATGTAAGTCCATTTACTGCTTCCTTTGTTGCTTTTCTTTTTGTTTTGTTAAATGAGTGAATGAAGTTGTGACGGTCTCCGCTGAGACAGAGGAGAGGAGAAGCTACTAGCCCTCTCTCGCTGTCACTTCTAGTCGCGTTGCTCTCCTCCCCAGTAATGTTAAATTTAGCACCAAAAAAAAACATAATAGTGGTAATTTAAATAGCAGTTTATGGGATTTATTAACCCTCAGGGGTCCCTCTGTCCTTTTTTGGACATTTTCACTTTTCTTTTTTGATTAGCTGTTCATTTTGGCTGTGTTACAGCTGAAGGTATGAATTTCTGCAAGAAAGTGTCTTTTTTGACATATTTTTAAAATCTAATGTCAGTTACTGTTACAGGTCTATTATACACTGGTAACACATTTTGTACCGTCTGGGGTTCCTTGCGTCCAAAAAAGGACACACAAAGAAAATGCTATAAAATTATCATATATCAATATTTTTTTCTGCTTTTTTTGCATACATCTCTTAAACCACTTCAGTTCTGCTCAAACCTACCAAATGTTTATTAGTTTTCAGGATTTTAACCCTTTAAATGCCAGTTTGAAGACATGTTGCCTCTTGTTTTATAAAAAAAAAAACAACAACACAGAATATGAGATATTTCCCACATAATACATGATGGGGGGATGTGACATTGTTATATATCAGAGTCTTTTATATCAAGACATTTCTCAAAACCAGAATATGATCAGGGTGGCTTTTGAACACTGGAAATAAGTAATGTACTCATCCCGGCAGTAGCCCCCGTGGCACTCAAAATTTCCCTGGAATTTTCTAGTGTGTTTTTACTGTTTTATTCTCCATATTTGTCCTCTGTAAATGAGTGTTGACTTTATGCTACTGCTGAAATACAGTTCATTTATTAAAAAATTTTCTGATTAATTGTCTTTCATGTTTTAACACTGTAAACGTTTTCATCGACGTTAGCTTAGCTTAACTTAGAACATTCTCTAACATGTTTGTTTTTTTAAACTAGATCACAAGATCATTCAACTTTCAGGTACAATCTTCAGATTGATTAAGGGTCATGATTTCAATAATCAGAAAACAGAGGCAACCAGCAGGAATTGGATTTATCTGACAATGTACTACTGTTGTGGTCTTTTGTTTTTTTTTTTACAGTGTTACAGTAGGAGTAGTAGTCGTACACAGTGTAGTGACAGTAAACATCCAGCGGGTGGTGCTGGGAATCTGTCAATAACAACATAAACCATCATCATCCTCTGTGCTGTCACACTGAAATTTTTCAGTTTCAATGTAAAAAAATTCAGTGATGAGTTAAACAGATTTTACCTCAGATTTCTGGTTTCATGATTCTCTTCACAAAGTTGTATTTTTATTTGTTTCCTGCAGATTAACATCAAACCAGAAAATCAGATTATTGGGAGACAAAAAACAAAAAACTATGAACACAAAATACAGGAACTACGGTTCTGATCAAAACTGAGTAAAGACCACTATGTTACTGTTAAATGTTAAATGTTCTATAGGCCCAAATACATTTTATTATTATTTTCATTATTATATTATATATGATAATTATATATTTGTATCAGGGACAAAACCACACAGCTCAAACTGTCATATTAAAACTAAGTGAACACCTGTAAATGAAAAATGTTAATTATAATGAACAGTCAGTTAATAATTCAGTTTGTTACTCCACAGAATTAAATGAAGCAGCAGCTACACTGAGTTATCATGAGACTGAAAACCAAGCTAAACTACAGCTAAAGCTAACTAGCTTAGCATATGTAGTCTCATCTGTTGAGTATAATGAATGTGAACTTCCTCTAAAAAACTTAGTAAACTTGTAAGAATAAAAGAAAATCAGAACTCAAACCTGCTCATACTGAACTCTTAAGTTCAGAGGAAAACACAGAATCTACAAACTAAATATGTTCACTAAAACTCTCCACACAGAAGCAAGAGTGATATATTAAAACAGCTGAGAATGTGAATGTCCTTTACTGATATAGACGTAAATAAGCACAATTGTGTGACTGCTGCTGACCTGGAGTGATCTCACTTTAAACTGGAGGTAAATCAGCATACAGGGGGTTAAACTGAACCTTCGTCACCTTCACACTGACTGTGTCTGATCTGTGTGACCATGTGAGGGTAGGGTTAATGTTGGTGTTTTGGACCTGGATTGATTCAGACTGGATGAGTTGATGCAGACAGACACAGTGTGCTTCAGTTTCATATCAACTGTTCCTGGATCAGTTTCATACAGTGATCCTGTCTGGTATGTCTGTAATTCATCCTGCTGATGGAGATCTGAGAGATGAAACTTATTACTCTGCTGGCAGACACTCCAGCTCACCACCGTCCAGCTAGACCTTTACCAGCTATACTTAAAGATCAATTCACCTCGCAGGAATCCAGACGAATGATAACAGTCTGAATTCTTCACTTTAATGAAAAGGAAAAATCTAAGAGGCCATGTCTGCTCATGTGACACATCAGGTACAATTGACATCCAGCTCAACCTTGAAGCAGTTTGACCTTTAACCTGCTGATTCATGGAAAGCAACAGATCTGAGGTAGGTGGAGACAGATGAGGAAAAGCTTTACTGATCTTTACTGAAGTATTGTAATTAATAACTATTATTACTGATTAATCTGGTGAGGCTCTTCTTCATTAATCAATTGATCTTTCTGTCTAAAAAATTAATTAAGTATGTAGTTTACTGTGACACAAAATAGATAGAAGGCAACAGGTGAAGTCAGAAATTAAAAACAGTCAGAGTCAGACGTAAGAAACAGTCGGAGTCAGACATTAGAAAAAGGTTGAGTCAGATGTTTGGAACAGGTGGAGTCGGATGTTAGAAACAGATGGAGTCAGATGTTAGAAAAAGGTTGAGTCAGACATTTGAAACAGGTGGAGTTGGACGTTAGAAACAGGTGGAGTCAGATGTTAGAAACATATGTAGTCAGGCATTAGAAATAGGTGGAGTCAAACAATAGAAACAGGTGGAGTCTGATGTTACAAACGGATGGAGTCAGACGTTAGAAACAAGTAGAGTCAGACATTCCAAAAACAGGTGGAGTCAGACATTAGAAACAGGTGGAGTCAGATGTTAGAACCAGGTGGAGTCAGATGTTGTTTGATGGTGTACATTAGTATTTAGTAAATTCTAACTCTAGCTGATCTCTAGCTGTCTCTACTTGTTTTAAGTTAAATGGTCAAGCTTCTATTTATTAACATTCCCTTAAGATGAGATGATGAGTGATGTATTTGTTCATCCGCCAGCTTGTCAACTTACTGTCATCAGCGTATACTGTATCTACTTCCTATATTTACTATGTCTACTATATCTACTTTCTGTGTCTACAGTGTCTACTGTATCTACTTTCTGTATAT